GGCAGCTGATACTGGTTGGACAGCTGACTGAATTCCAGAGGTGTTCCAGGCAGCTGATACTGGTTGGACAGCTGACTGAATTTCAGAGGTGTTCCAGGCAACTGATGGCATGTAAGCTTACCTTAACTCTCCGTAGGAAAACTGTAAACTTGGAGAAAATATCCTTTAACAGATCAATCCACTGGGGGAAATTCAACATCCTCATTTGATCCGCAAGCCTATAAAAAAATTTTAAACAACATAACTGTGCGTGGACCGATATGATGACATCTATAAGCTGGAGGGAAAGATACTAAATATTACATAAAAATAAAGTGCCATTTATCTAGAGCCCTAACTAAAATCATAGACTCCTAAGCTAAAGAGGTCAATTACCAAACTCTACCTGTTTTAAACACCGTTCTAACTGACTAGTCCAATCAAGTATACCAGCAAAAGTCCTTATCATACTGCAATTCCACGTGAGAATGTTTTGTGACCACTGAAGAAGTAAAATACACACTTACATACTGACATTAGCTAAAAATAAGGATCTCTTGTGAAATAATGATAGAAGAATATTTCCCTCAACAGATTTAATAATCCACTTCTCCAACTACAAATTTATAAAGCACCTTTCCATCTGTGTGAGGTAGGACAGCCTGCTGGCAGACTCGGCAGCACCAAATCAGCTTGAAATCCCAGCTATTTAATCCAGATTCTGGTTGTGTAACTCTGTCAAGTAACTGACCCTTGCTTTGTTCACTCGTTGTTTTCAATTTAACATGGAGAAAAGTATGTCTCTTATACAATTATAAACATTAAAGAAATTGGTTTAAAAAACTGCTATCAGCAACATATGGTGCATTTAAAAAAATGATGTATCAGCCAATATTATTACTTGATGGTTGCTCTAATAACTTCTAATATGAAACAGGTTAATACAAAAAAAAGAATCACCTTCAATCACCCTAAAGAGATTTCATAGAACTAAAACAACTTATTACTGTATCTTTCCAGTGAACACTGCAATGGCCATGAGTTTATTACAAAAAAAAAAAAAAAAAGCACTCTTGTACTGGATACCATGAAGCTCTTCACATACTCTGAGAAGACTACAGTGCCATAGCTAAGCTTTTATTGCTGTGAGAGCACACGGCTACAGGCAACATGGGGAGGGAGGATTTTTACTTTAGCTCACAACTCTCGGGTCACAGTCCACTGCTGGGAGAACTCAGGCGGGTACTCAAGGCGGGAACCTGGAGGCCGTGGAGGAGAGATGCTTACAGGCCTGCGCCCCATGGCTTGCTCGGCTGCTATCTGACAGCACCCAGGACCACCAGCTGAGGGTGGCTCCACCCACCATGTACTGGGATCACTCCCATCAATCACTCCAGGCCAATCTTATGGATTCATTTTCCCAACGGACAGTCCCTTTTCCCAAATGATTCTAATTTGGGTCAAGTATATATGAACAGCCTGCACAAGAGCACGAGAATAAAAAGTCACTGCTTTCCTGAGTTTTCTCAAGGTCCCTGTGATTTGTCTCCCAGCAGCCCCTCCTCTGCAGTAGTTGCTCCAATCAATTCTGAAGCAGATATGCCAGGGAGGAGTGTGGAAACTGCAGTACTCCACAAGCTCCGTGCTGGGGGTCTGGCCCAGAGAAACTCAGCAACAATCCACATCACTGCTGGCGTCTTTGGCCAGAAAAGGCTGATGCCTACATGAATGAAATCCAGGCGTTCACTTTTCACCATCCCTCTCAAAAGAATAGGAGTCTCCAGATGAAAACAAAACTGCCTAGACACAAGCAATTTAAAATTAACTATCCAAACTCCTTGAACTATTAGGAGCTTGATTACAGAGCTAAGGGATTTAAACGTGAGACTTGCTGGCCCCACGCTAATAAACTACTTTCAATCCCTGCCACTTTATTACCCCTATCCCCTTCTATGCTCAACTTTGCCCTGAAAAGCCAACCAGCAGGGCCCGGCCAATGAAGGTCCTTATAAAGACTAGAAAAAGGAAAGATAAAGCAGTCAACTCATTATCCAGTTTAATGCTTTTGTTAGATTTATCTGTATCTAAAACAGTGCAATAGTACTAAATGGAATTTTTTTTAAATATAGCAATTTATCACCATTGTGATATGATAATTGTGCTCCCTCCCCACTTTGGATTAGAATCACCCCTTTGTTTAATGTATCCATGCTGCATATACTACCTGTGCAATCATCACTTAGTAACAACCTTCGCTAACAATCCAACTGGGTAAGCACCAGTGCTTTTCTTCAAGTACCCTTTATTTTACGCAAAAGAACAATGACCCCAAGGCAGCAGGGAATAAACATCTGAAGGCAGATGAACTCCTGTACTGTGTAGCAATGACAGAGAGTACATAAGGAAAAATGGGTGTGGGTGTGGGTATGTGTGCTCACAAGAAGCGCTAAATGGTGGCCTCTATTGTACCTGCTCCTCCAGTTCCCTCCCTGAAGAGTACAATCAGTTCCCTCATGATTGTTTCCTCTATCCAAGGACACAGCTATAGTTAAGGACATTATCATCTTTCTTCTGAACTCTGTCAATGTTCATTTCAACTATCTCTTAAACATGTAAATGTATTTACACCCTGAGCCAAACTTCAGTCAACAATTACTTAGATTAGTCCCCCTTAAAATCCTAAATTGCATCTTTCCCTAACAGATAAATACAAAGCTCCATACATGTTTATACTTACTTTACAACAACATCTGTGTCTATTTCTTCTATTTGTGAAACTTTGTTAATCACACGCTGCAATTAAGAAAAATGGCAACTTGGTTAATTGTCTTTAGAACCCCAACTAATTCATGATTCATCTGTGCACTCATTTAAAAGAACACCAGGAGATTGGGGGAAGAAGGGGCAGCTCAGACAGTGAAGTGTTTGTCCTGCAAACATAAGGACCTAAACCTAATCCCCCAAATCCATGTTAAAAAGCCAGGTGTGGTTAAACACTCAGCATCCCAGCGCCGGGAGCCTGAGATAGGCAGAGCCCTGGGGCTCACTGACCGGCCAGCCTAGCCTATCAGGCACTCCAGGTTTACTAAGAGACTGTCTCAAAACACAAGGTAGATGTCTCCTGAAGAACACCCGAGGCTGCCTTCCGGCCTTCACATGGGTGCACACACATGCACCTAAACATGCTCACCCACATATAAAATAAAAGCAAAGGAACTGGGCTGTAGTTAGCTCAGTGGTTAAAAGCTCTGGCTCCTCTTCTAGAGGGTGAAGATTCAACTCCCAGCACCCACTTGGTGGCGGATAACCAGCTCCAGAGAAGCCAAAGCCCTTTTCAGGCCTCCTCAGGTACCAGGCATGCAGATAACAGATTTCTAAGGTACAGATGCATTTCACCTGTGTCCGAAACTTACACGCACAGAACCCTGCAGTGTACAGTCTTCTTGAGTCTAGTTTTACATTGTATTCACAGCTTTATGAAGCTATGGATAATGTGTCCAATCTCATCGTGAGGTAGTATTTTACTGGGTGTATATAGACCGCAATTCTATCTACCCACTATATTTTCTGATGATGCAATTTAGAATGTTCCCTTTTTTTCTAATGGCAAATGGTGCTGCCATGCATACTCTACTGTGTTTGAATGGATTTACCTTAGTATTTGTTAGGTAGATACTTAAGAATAGAAATTCTGAAATGTATATATATATCTAGCATTATTAAATACTGCCAAAAACTTTCCAAAATGGTTATACCCGTTTAGAAATAGTGTTTCAACCAGTTTAAGTAAAAGAAAAAGCAGTTATTTTTGTGTATTTTATATAAACACTGAAAACATATATGTACATTCAACCTAATGATGACTAAGCATAATAAACATTTTGTAAAATTATCTAAGTTAAAAAAAAACATCAAAACAAAGACCAGGGGAAACTAAAAACAAGGTAGAGTGGGGGCGGGGGATTTCGGCTTAGCAGCGGAGTACCTGCCTAATATGTTCAACATAAAGCCTGGGCTCAACCCCTGCAGCAGGGTAGAATCTAAGGCTTTAGGCTGCTACTAACTTTCTAAGCGGGGCAGAAAGGGAGCTAACATCTACATGCTTGCTGGGGGGTATAAACTAGTAAGATAACAATTGAGGTTTACGCATTAAACTTTAAAATATCCTTCAGTCTCCGACCAACACTCCTGCCTTGCCGTACCAGTCTAAGAAAACCGTCCTTTTGCTGTTCCTTTGTATACTTGTATGGGTGCACAAACATGCTCACCTGGTTATGTGTGTTTGTGTGCAGGCATGGAGGCCAGAGGCGCACTGGCTGCAACCCAGCCACAGGCTGTCCTGCCTCCCCAGTGATGGGTCGCAAGCGCACACTTGGCTCCAGGGGTCAGACCATGCTCTCTGACCGAGCCGCCCTCTCCACCCTCTTAAGACAGAGCTTAAACACGAAAACAAGCTCACATACTCCCAAGAGGGCTTTCAGCTTCATTTACAGTATCAAATTGAAACTTTAAATATTCCACATTGAAAGAAAGACAATATAGGTCTAACCAACATGTTTGTACAATTGTACAGAACCATAAAGCCTATGTTTCTGAAGCTTTGTAAAATAAATAAAAAAATGCTAATGTGGGTTCTGAAATCTGTCCAAATTCACGTGTAAAGCAACAATAAGAAACCCATATCATCTTAAAGTCGTGACCGTGGCTGGTAGGGCTACACTTCTCTTATTTTTCCATGTATACAATTTTTTAACAAAATGATCAAGTATTACTATTATCTGCTTATTTTACATATTACTAGGTGACAAAAACTTCACAGGTTTTAAATCATATATTAAATAAAGATGTACAATACCTCTTTAATGATGTTCTTTGCCGTAATAATCATTTCTTCACTATAGATTTCTAAAAAATTAAGTTTTCTTTGTTTCAAAAGCCCAAATACAAGAGATACTAATCTTTCCTAGTAAAACAAAAGAAACATGTATGAGTTTACATTTGAAATTTAATATGAAAGCAGAAACACTTATCGGAATGGTTATGTCAGACCTCAGATCGCCCACACATGAAGTGGTGCTTTCCAGAGCGTGATGTGAGCCCTCCCTCGGCAAACTTGACATCAGATTTGAGTCCATACTCTCCAGCAGGTAAACTCTATTCTACACAAGGTGGCAAATGAAGCTGGCTCATGACAAACCATGCTAAAAGGTCTTTTATCCTCACTTCCACAGTTAAAGAACACCTTCATATACTTATAACCAGTCAGGAACCCAGATGACCGGAAGACTGACCTGGACTCTGAGTGGAACTGCTAATATGGACCTCTCTAAAACATTATGAAGCAGGAACTTTAGATTCATTTTTGTTTTTTCCTGGTAGTTTTTGGCAACAACCTTCACTGCAAAATTACCAGGACAGTGAAGCTTGGACATACATATACTTACATACATATACAAATACAACTTGTTTTATTTAGGTGTGTATACAGATGATCAGTGAATTTGGATGATTAACAAATTACCACACAACCATCATTTTTTACAGAAGAGAAACCCCAGTGGATATATACCCATGGTATATAAATTAAATACATCTTAGTCATCCTCTAGCTCTATTTTGAACTTGGCTTGTAACCTTTAAAAATCTCATTTCAACTCTTATTTCTAAATAAGCTAAGACATTATTCCAATTTCCAACTTCATAGGATACTAAGCATTTATACTTATTAAAGGCACACAGCTAGCACACAAATTCAAAAGTCTGACAGACGTGGAAATTTGGGGTAATTTTGTTCGCTATGACCCTAAGAAGAATGTGCTGTAATTAAGGCTGTGAAGAAGCAACACTGAGTGAAGACAGTAACTGGACTTCCACAGTTCAAACACATACCTCTTCTAAAACTTGACATTCACCTTCCAGTGGTCTGTTTAAGTCACTGTGAGAATAAGTAGAAAATTCTGCAATCATCATTTTATCAATCAGCTTTTCTAATTCACAAAGTTGTGATCCCAAATGCCTACCAAGAGAAGAGAAAAACATTATATATACCCACTAACACCCATAAATTTACTCCAATTTCAAGAGGACAGAGCTTTTCTAGCTGACGGTACTTATTAACAATATGATGTTCTAATAAAATGGAGACCTTTAATGAGCAAAAATCACTGTCATAATGTCATTTCATCTCCAGGATTCTACCTTTTTGTTTCTTTAAAGTCTAAACAGTTAAGTATGCTCAGAAAACCTGATTACTTGTTTTGTTTTTGTTTTGTTTTTTTTTTTTTTTTGAAACAGAGTTTCTCTATGTAGCCTTGGCTGTCCTGGAACTCTGTAGACCAGGCTAGCCTTGAACTTATAGAGATAGGCCTACCTCTGCCTCCCAAGTGCTAGGATAAAGCCATGTGCCACCACCACCTGGCTACTTGATAAATTTCATGATTGCTTTTTACAGATGAATTATCAGCTGTTCAAATTCCTTTCTTCATTAACGATTTAGTGACTATCAGCCACTCATTTACTCAGAAAACTCAAATCTAAATGGCAATAGGGACAGAGTGACTCAACTCAATGTCATGCTAAATGTCAATCACTGTTCATCAGCCGTCAGGTCACTAAACTCTAAGCCATTAGGCCAGAGGTGCTGCCAGGTATTCAAGGCGCTTGCTGTTCTTGTAGGATCCCTGAGTTCAGTTCCTTTTCGTCTGTAGGAAAAGAACTGGAGAAAGTCCAACACTGTCTTCTGGCCTCTGCAGGTACTAGGCAAACATATGGTACATACATGCAGGCAGGCAAGGCAGAATGCTTACGTATAAAAAATTAAAATCTCTAAAATTATTAGAGCATATAACTAAAATTGTCTTCAGCCACAAAATATTTTCTCACCACAAATCCAATAGCTTCAAAAAGATGAGCTGAGAAACCTAGAAAACCCAATATACTTAAGAATTTCAAAATTCAAAACGTAAGGGGAAAACGTCAAAGGAAAATCTGCTTAGATGGCAAGGAAAAGGGGTTTAAGTTGTGTAATCTTTCCTTTGTCATTTGCATATATTAACTGTCCAAAATAATGGATTTGGGGCTAGTGAGATGGCCCCGGGGTAAAGGATCTTGCTGCCAAGCCTAAAGACCTGAATTTGATCCCTGGTACCTTGTGACAGAAGGAGAGAGTTGGTTCCTGAAAGCTGTGCTCTGACCTACATATGTATTCCCCCCAAAACATGAACAGAAATGCAACTTAGCTGATACAGCGCATGCGTCCTAAATTCAATTCCCACCATACAAACCACATGTATGTTGGTACAGTGCATGCATCCTAAATTCAATTCGCATCATACAAACATGCCCATAATCCCAACACTGGAGAGGTAGAGGCAGGAGGATCAGGAGTTCAAAGTCTTGACTACAGGGTAAAGGACATTAAACTGTCTCAAAAAAAAAAATAATAATAATGACTTTCATTCCCACATTCACACACATTTACAATCTGCTTTACTCACATTTACACTCTCACTGTCCTCTCTATCTGCTTTCTCTCTGGTCCCCTTCTACTCATATATGCTTTATTTTAAACTAGTGAGTCTTTCTATATTTCAGTCAATTTTTAGAAAATTTAGAGTATCTACCTTGGGATGGGGCTCAGGGGCAGGACACTTGCCTACCATGAATAAGGCCCTGGGTCCAATGCCCAGCACTACAAAACTAAAAATACCCAAGCGAACACACAAAAGAAAAAGAAAAAGCTCTAGTCAGTTATGCTGGCACCTGCAACCCTAACAGCTGGGAGGCTGAGGCAGGTCAACCATGAGTTTTGGGCCAGGGAGGACAAGGCACATCTAAATAAACAAATAATAAATAAGTCTGTCTTTGGGGTGATTTTTTTCAACATTTCTAAATGTAACTTTATATTAAATGTAAATTTAATACAACTATTTCTACTGCATACACTGCATTACTTGAAAAGGAAGAGCTCGATGTCAGCAGCTTTGCTTATAAAGTCGGGCTCCAGACAGTACAACTTTCAAAATTAGTTAAAACCATGACAGCTTGTAGGAGGACAATCTTCTATTATAAAGTTTTTATTAAGTAGTGATAATTTTGAAACAAATCTGACAAATAAAATAAGAGCTTGCTTGTATTCTGCAATATGAAAATATTTCTTAAGAGCTTCTAAGAGAATAAATGTCTCCTAAGTGGCACCAATATTTCACAATCACATAAACTAAAACCCTTCCAGACTTAGCAAAACTACTTAGGCAATTTCACTTTGACCCAGGAGCCCCATTTCACCCTCTTTAAAAACATACTTTGCAGTATATACTACAACTGCTAGTCGCTGTTCATCTGTGTCCAAACTAATCACAGGCATCAAGGGGAAAAAGGTCGGTACTACTTGTGCTTGAGGCATCTCTGAGGGTCTTGGAGAATACCCACAGATAAGGATGGGGAAAGGAAAGTATCAAAATACTACGCAGTTCTGAGAGCTTCTTGTGTGCTAAAACAAATGAGAAATGGTGTTGGTATCTAAGGATCACATTTTCAATCTGGTCAGGACTGAATAGTTAAGAAGTGACATGCCTACAGACATCACCCTGAATGGGCAGTAACAGATAGGCTCCTAGGTTTCCCTTAAAAAGAAAAGGAGTGAGCGCTTAGCATGCGTGAGGCCTTGGACTCAACCTTACCACCACAAGTAAATTAACTGAAAGCAACCCAGTAGCTGGGATCTCTAAACACAGGCTCCCATGCCGAGGAGAAGGCTCTGCAGGTGAAAGCCCCGGCCACACAAAAGACAAGGCCTAAACTCAGTTAGGCCTCACACAAGAAAGCCAGATGCAGTGACGTACATCTGTAAACTCAGCAAGCTACAGCCACACGAGAGGTGAAAACCTCAAAGCTCAAGGCTCTGGGCTAACTAGCCAGGGACAGACAGCACAACAGAAACAAGACCTTGCCTCAACAAGGGAGGAAAAGTGACCCCTAACAGTTTTAGACATGCACACAAATACATGCACTGTAATAATAAAGTTTAAATTGTCTTTTTAAAAGAAGAATCCTCAAGGAAATGACAGCTTACATACACAACATAGTCCAGTGTAAGTATGCTGTCACAGCACCAAGAACAGAAGCTTTCAAGTTATTTCTCATGGACTCGTATTCAAAGGACTCGAGAATAATGGTAGAATCACCACTAAAACATCAGACAATTTGAGTATCTACAAAAATAAAAATAGAAAGGACTTTTAAAAGAAGACTTAAAAATAAGAAATGCTTTTAGACCTAAATCCATATACTAAGCCAAAGACTTTCTTAAGAACAGCTTATCAGTTACCTTTAGAAGATGCTGGAATCCCAATTCACCTCTTCAAAAACCACTAGCTAAAGACAGATTGTCTTAGATTTCATTCTACCTTTCCTTATAGGAGCTGCTTCAGATTAACCAGACACAGCTGACTTACCAAGCACTTCAGGGATTAGGTGTCTCCCCAAACCCACATATCATGAAGAAAAGAAAAAAGAAAAAAGAAAAAAAACCTCCCAAAATCCATTTGTATGTTTTGATGCTTCCAAAACTTAAGTCCGAGTGCCCGCTGCTGACCAGAGGCCATACCAACAACATAAAGTAACACATATTTTATATGTTGTAACGTAGTATGAACTGTGAAAAAAACAAAACAGATTGCTTTTCTTCCCCTTTTGCGGTATTGGGGATTAAACACAGACAAGGTCTTAAGACGAAGCTATCTCCCCACTAACTTTTCACTTTTTTTATTTTGAGATAGGTTCTCACTAACTTGTCTGAGCTGGCTTTGACTCACTCTGTCCCCAGCTACTGAAAGATTTCTTTTCCATGATAATCACTGTACGGGATAGGTGACTGACTGACACAAGGACATACATATGACCCCCACCACAGCAACAGGAAGTGGCTGTGCAAGGACCACAAAGCAGTCTGCAGTGAAGTCAGCTTGTGCATTTTACATCTCTTCTATGAATGCTGCCATGTACAGACTACGAGGTAAGTTTTGACAAATTTTACTTTTTTGTAATAGGTCTGTGTTTTATGATAAAAATAGACTGTCTACATATATACATTCAAAACATACTTAACTTTCTCTAAGTTTTAAAAATATGTTTAGGCTACACTAAACTAAACTAAACTCTACACTATTAGAGTTTCTTAAACTGTCACAATTCCAAATCTGTGTTTTTAAAGGGTCAACTATAATTGTTAATTGGAGGGATCTCTTGGGAATAGCCCAGTAAATAATCAATAGCAGTGCTGATCAGAGAGTCAGGAGGGCCAACAGCATACATGCTTAGACTTACACAGCGCTTAACATTCAGCCCTCCTGTAAGGAAATCTAAGCAACTTCCCAACTATAGAGAACTGTTGATACAATGTTCTTTTGAAATGTATATACCTTACCTTTGTTCATTCAAATGCTGATTTCTCTCCCCCACTCTCTGGTTTCCATCCAGATATTGTACTGTGAAACATATTCTAAGCATCCTGTCTCAACTTTGTGTAAACAGGCCAAAATAAAGCAACTAGACACAAAGTTGAGCAATGGAAGGAGCCAGAGGACAGGAAAGAGGGGAGGAGCCAGAATGGCAGGAAATGAGTGGGAGGAGGAGAGAGGAGAGAGAGCTAGAGGAGAGACCTTGGAACTACATGGAAAATGAACCAGACCTAAGATTTCACAAAAAGCAAGTATAATGGGTAAAATCTAAATGTTAGGAAACTATGAGGGCTTGGAGGTTTAAGAGGGAGTAACTATTGCCCAGCATTGTGAGCTGGGTTAACTAAATAAACCCAATTTCTGTGTGGTGATTTGGTTATACAGCTGTTTAGGATTAACAACAGCATTACCAGAAGATATATCAATAGTAAATATTAATCGTCACCTACAACAGAGAACAGATGGAAGGAGAGGATGTGAAACATGAGCATGCAGCTCTCAATGAATACTATGAAAAGGAGAAAATAAAAATAATGAAGCTATATATCAAACAGCC